CCAGAGATCATCGGTCAATGCGACCAAAGCGGTTTCTGTGCTGTAACCTGGTCGGAAGCCGGACTGGAAGGGGTCAAGACTGGCGACTACCCGGAGGAGAGCCTTCTCTGTGGCTGCTCCGACCCTCTGGAACAAACTCCCCGTGGAGATTCGAACCCTCACCTCCCTCCAGGCCTTCCGCAAAGCCCTCAAAGCCCTCAAAACCTGGTTGTTCTGACAGGCCTGGGGCTAAAGAGCTGTTGCCCCCGTCTCGAATGGTATGACTGTTGTGAGGTTTAAATTATATATTGTTATGCTGTTGTTTTTTAAAATTCTTGTCTGTATCCCCCTCCCTGGTTCGAGTTGTGAGCCGCCCTGAGTCCTCTTCGGGGGAAAAGGGCGGCATAGAAATTTAATAAATCTAATCTAATCTAATCTGATTATATTTTATTTTATGTTATAAAAATAGCACAGCTAGTTCAATCTTGTAGTGGTCAGGATTATTACAAAAAACATTATGAAAGAATATTTCATTACTCAATATTAACAAATGAAGATTTTCAGATTCCTGAGTTCTACAGAAGGATATCAAATATCTGTGATTAGAACTCATGCTTTAACATCTTGTAGCTGGTAAAGCCTAGCATCAGAAATTTATGTACCTGAAATATTCATTTAGTTTGTGGAATGTAAGTATTTGGAATGTACAAATATATGGAAATGACAAACAACAGCAAGATAAGGCACCAAAATTTCCTTGCTATCCCAAACTGATTACATGTGTTTATGATCCTTTCCAATGAGAATGGATATAGTTGAAAAGTATTTTGGTTCAAACATTTAGATATTCTTACATATTAATTTTGCCTTTTTACAATTGACTACAGTAAAACAGTTTTATTTCTATGTTTTTTGATTTTCAGGTTGTCTACCTTCACAACAACAAAATTGCTGCTGTTGGCCCTAATGATTTCTGTCCTCTTGGATACAACAGCAAAAAAGCTGCTTATTCAGGAGTAAGCCTGTTTAGTAACCCTGTGCAATTCTGGGAAATTCAGCCATCTGCTTTTCGATGCATCTATGAACGATCTGTAATACAACTTGGAAACTACAAATAAATGCACAAAAGTGTTTCCACTTAAATACCTGTTGCTTTTTAAAATTGCTGGTAACTATTAAAGCCTGATATTGGAGACTTAACTGCAGAGTGGATATTATTATATTTGTAAAAGACACATGAGATAATTTCCAGAGAAAAATAAGTGAATTTATTTTGGGGTTGAGTTTTTTTTTTTCCTTCATCAACAACACCTGAGATAGTTAGTGGTATCTCTCCCTTAGGTGAGCACAAAATATTTTTTTAAACATTCCAGAGAATGTTGAGATGTGGGGGTAAATATTGGTCAAGCATTTCATAATTAGAAATAGTATAAAGCACATTTTTACTCTAAAGCCACACAAAAAAATTATTTTGGGGACAAAGTAATGAGGCATACTTTAAAAAAAAACCAATCAAGTCTTAATAAACTCCCATCTATTTAAAATTTATATCAGAAGTGCAGGTATTAAAATATTAGATATTCAGATAAGCAATATAGAAATGTTGCTTTTGTTAATATTTTTGGTTAAAATACTATTTTAATATATACCTATTTTCTTTTCTATGATTTTATGTTAAAATCTTCCCAGATAATTTATGTACAATTAGGAAAATATTCTACAGGCTTAAAATATATTCATGACCCTGGCTTTTTCTTGAATATATCAGCTAATGCTGATACTGATGCTTTTATGTCCCCATGGAATGGAGATAGTGGTGCCTCACCCATCTTGTAATGAAAGTCACCAAGAACTTTTGCTGTGTAACTGAATTTACAATAAGCATTAGGTAATCTTGCCTTTATCATTTAGCATGCAGGGAAAGGACTTGGAGCCTTGTCCACAAATTCCTGCTTCATTCTCCAATTTTTCATTGTCATTTTTACCTTCTAGGTGACAAAGCTAATGTTTTCAAAATGCAATTTATTTCTCATTGCTCACACAATGACTGTTCCTGTTCATAATCTGATAAAAATAGTCACACAGAATTCTCATTAATTTGGGAGTCTTTGAGAAATTACTATGTGGATTGTGACTCGTAAATCTGCAACCATGTATAAATTAAGCAATATTGGCCTACTATATTAATAAATAGCTCTAAAATGCAAGAGTGGACATTCACACATTTTAACTGATTTTAATTTTAACACTGTTTTCAAATGTAATGTAAACAAATATTCAGATTATTTGCTCAACAATACATAGTTTCACAGGGGATTATCAAGTGGCCAGAAGTAGAAGAACATTATCTAAAATAATATTTTAAGACACATCTGAAAGCAAAGTTTATTTTTACATCACTATAACTGGTTTTATGTAGTAGCAATAATATAAAAAATGGCTGTACATTTCTGGGAAACCTATCTCCAAATTTAACTGTATTTCTTTCAACATGACACATTAAAAAAAAGTTTGGATGCCTCTTAATTGTTCAAAATACAATATTTTCAATGTATGTATGTTTTATATTAAACAGTACTGGCAAACTCCAAGATCCTGGTGTGTGTTATATAGGCTCTGCCATCTAAAGCAGTGGAAACCAACCTATTGCAAAGGGACAGATTAACAATCATTTTCTAGTGCTATTCAAAGTAGTTGAATCCAGTTAGTTATCATATAGCAGATTTTCATAAAATGAAATAGCTAAAGTTAAAACCTGGTTTATCACATACACTAATATATGAGAATATATAGAGATTTATTTTCTTTTAATAACCATGTAATAATCCCTTGCATTAGAGTGGAATGGGGGAGACTGAATGTAGCTGAGTGTTTACAGGCCAGATGCCCTTCCTAACACCTATGTGCACACTGTCAACAACAAATATTATTTCAATTAAGATTTTGATCGTACCAGGATAAAACTATATCCAGTCTTATGTTCTATATCAGCCTTCTCCAACATGATGTCCTCTACTATGTTGAAGTCCAGCTTCTATAATTGTGTCACCTGAATATTTATGTGAATTGAAAGGTAACATATCTGATAGGATTTGGTTGGAATAACTTATTCTACACCTTCCATCCATTAACTCAGTTAAAATTCTCAGCTTTTCTGATTAAAATCTTCTGGAAGTCATAAAAAAAATGCAAAACACAAAACTGCAGTCAGGCATTATCTTATAGATAGGTCAACAGACTGAAGGCATTGAGGCAGCTAATAAACTGAAAACCACAAGGATTTGTATTGGATTCTGTGGAATTTTCACAATTTTTCTCATGACTTTTTCCCAAATAAAATTACTGCTTTATGTACCGGTAATTGGAAAAATGAAGTGCATACTTGAAAGTCCATCACCATTAGTGTCATGGGGGTTGTTTATGAAAAGTTCAAAAGAGTTTGGTAATGCAATCATCTGATTTATCTCTGAGCTATTTAAAACAGCTATGTGATATTGGGGGAGTCTACTGTATGTTTCTATTACCAAAACAACTTTGGAGGAAAGAAGTATTCAAGATAATGTTTAAGTTAAGGAGATATTAAAACAGATAATGGGAATACTTTGTGTTTTTATGGTCTGCATCAGAGGTAGTTGCTCCTGGTTTGGCCCAGATTGGGCGAACCAGTAATAGTGGTGACAGGAGACTTTGCAAACCTGCCCAGACACTTCTTTTTACTACTTTACCGATAGTAAAACATTTGGAAACCCACCACTGGTCTGCATACAAACATACATACAGATGGACACACATACAGAAAGAAAAAGGGAGAGGGAGACAGTCAGAGATACAAACATGTTTATTCTTAAAATTAATAACACAATAGTAGTGCCCCTAGAAAAGATACATCAAATTTCTCTCTTCTGATCCATATTTCTAACTCTGGAACTGAGATATTTACAAATAAGGCAAATATGAGTGTCCCAGGATAATTGCAGGATCCAAGAAGATTATAGGATCCAATTGGGTCAGTCACCTGGACCAGAGGTTTGGTCTTCTGAGCTTTCAGACTTGTGTTGGAGCCCATCCTCAGGGAGTTTCTCTTTAATAAGCCAATATTTAAAGCAATTTATGTTTGTTAATTGTCCAACTCCTTTTTGAATAGGACAGAAATGTAAAAAAAATAAATAATGAATTAATATTTTGTCCAAGAAAAGTAGCCAGAGCTCATAAAAAACTTGGCAGAAATAGAAAAATCAAGCTTTAGATAAAGAAGCCAAACATGTTCAACTGTTAAAAGAATGTAGCTAATTTTGCAGACTAGTGCAGAATAAAACATTATTAACTTAAGTTTAAAAAACATGGAAGCATATAAAGATTTTGTGAGTAAATTGAAGATTCCTACAAAATTAAATTGATTGAACTGGGATTAGGATTTTGAGAACTCAAGAGTTGAAAAATATTATATTTTAGGGTGGATGAATTTAATCCTGGTGACCCTTAATTCCTTGCCCAAGTACCTTCACGAAAGTCAAGTAGTTAACCAATAAGTGTGACAGTGGCCTCTAGTGATCAGACATTTTCCTTACATGCTTTTTGAACTAAAAGAAAAAAGTCATTTCATATATTTATTATAGCTACACAGCATGTGAATAATTTCCCATTAAGAGATATTCTTTTCTTCAGAGAATTTTTAATTTAATATGTTGTAGTTTATTGTTATCTATTAACCTTTTAAAAATGAACTGCTTTTTTAAAAGTAATGATCTCTCTGGTAATAAAACAGGATTATATTTTTTTCATTACATGAGGTTTGTATAAACTTCTATAGAAATTTACTACATTTCCTGAAACTGTTGATAAATATAAGTACATCACCAATATTTTTAAAGAAATTTACAACATAATTTTTTTTTATATCTACATATCTCTACCTCTATATCTCTAATTCCACATGAAATCCTGTATGGTTTCAGAGTCTACTTATTCATGTACTGTGCTAAGCAAAGCTATTACTGCATGATTCAACAATGCTTTTGTTTAGCAACTGTTTTTTTTTTCAGATTGGGGTTGAGAGGGAGAAATGCTACAAGGTCGACCAGATGGTTATGGGCAGGCTAGAACGTGAATCTCTTTATTCATAGTGCAGGATGTCAATCACTATACCACATGGGCTTTCTCATTAAATGATCATAAATCGCATATTAATGAAGGGTGGGCTGAGTGAACAATGAAAGTTAATACCTTGTATAATCCTCTTCAAAAAAAGCTATCAAAATCTTGGCATCAACCTATAGCAAAGGAGTTGAATGATATCTTACACAACTCAAGGGGTTCTTACCTGCTTTTAAAATTATTGTCATAAAGGCTTCAAAATTTGATAATAATGTTGCCCCTTTTACCAAGGATTTCTAAAAGATTTCCCCAGAAATAGGCATTTAAAATATTTCACCCAGCTGAAACTGACAAAAGAGATTTCTAGAAGATATATTCCTTAAAAAAAACCTCACAGTATTTAAATGGATATTTCTATGTTTTCAAAAAATATTTTTTTTTACAAAATTCCAAAAATTGGAAAATAATTTATGTATGATCACTAGGAATTAGGGATGCGATGACCCAGTGGTTAAGATGATGAGCATCTTGGCTGGAAAGCTGATACCCCAGTCGAGACTTGAGCGCCATGCAATGGGACAAACTCCTGTTACTTGCTTCTGTTCCTGCCTACCTAGAAGTTTGACAACATGTAAATGCAAGAAGATAAATAGGTACCACTTAACAGCATTCCACGTATCTCAGTGAATAGTCATGCTGGCCACATGACTACAGAAGTGTCTTCAGACAATGCTGGCTCCCTCATCTAAGAAACAAAGATGAGCACTGACCCCTAGAGGGGGAACCTTTACCTTTACTAAGAATTACTAAGGGCTGCCATTTAACTTGTAGTTATAACAGGTAGTCTTCAATTTACAACCAGTTGTTTAGCATATCCCCAAAAGGTACTTATGACCCAGCTAAAAGTTCTGATGGCGGACCTACAGTCACATGACTACATTTAGGCACTTTGCCACATTTAAGACCATTTGCAGTGCCCCATGGTCATGTGACTCTGATTTACAATATTTTTGCTGAAAACCAGTGTTTATTTCTAGTTTACATCCTACACCTCCAAATAAGTTTAGAGTTTGCCTAGGTCCACTGTCCTACTATTCCAAAGCTTA